TCGACATGGTCTGAAACTGATGTTGTTATTAGAAGTAATATCTGGAGAACAGCTACCCAAACCTGACCGAGGCAAAATGAGGTTCCATAAAATAGCCAATGTAAATAAAGCTTTAGATTATATCGCCAGTAAAGGTGTGAAACTTGTATCCATAGGTGCTGAAGGTAGGTTTGAATTTTATTTGTTACTTTGTAGTACTTTTGAAGATCTCTATAGCTCAGTCTGTTAGAGAGTTGAATACTATACATAACCTTATTTGCTTGGTTCAGTGAAACAATGATGGTCGTGGGTTATAATCTCAAGCATCTGATTATTCCAGTCGACTCAGCTGTAAATGGGTATGAATAATAAGGAAAAGATCGAGTCAAAGAGGTTTTGCCAAGGATCAGCTGGTAGACAGTAGAAAAATTGAAATCTACCCTGTGCTATACATGATATGAATCAATAGTCAATCTAGTTTATGAGAAGTATTAAATATAGAATATAAATACTAAGTTAAAGTTAATAGTCCTATCTACTTATAATATCACTTGACAAATACTTCTTAATATTTGTGGTAAATCATAAATTTAACAGTCCTCTTAATCGGTCACATATTGAAGGCTCATAAAAATATTTTGAACTAATTCAAGTTTAATATGTCTTAGAAAAAGCTGTCTGTGGAGGTATTTCATCAGGGTTGATGATTAGGCAAGATTTTTGCCAGACAATACAATACTAAGTTCTAAATGTTTGACATGGTGTAAATCTTGTAAAACTAGACACTATTTGGATGAATTTCAAATTTTCGCAACAGTAAAATTTGCCAATACAATACTTGAACCTGCAAAGAAATATATTTCTCTTTACCATTGAAGACCCACAAGCATTGGGACTGAAAATGAAATGGTGCAAATTACTGCTATCAATATCCCTGATACACATAGAAAGTTAAGAAATTATTCAATAAGCCATAATGAATCAATGATGAGAATAGATGGTATCAGAGTCTCTGATACACATAAAAAGTTAAGAAAACCAAGTATTTTTAGGTGGAAACGAAATCAGTGAACAGGACCAGTTAACAGATTGTGTTATACGGACTCACTCCACTAATTCATTTGCCATCTCTTCCCATGTTAAAACACGAAATTCAACCTTCTATAACTTTTTCCAGAAATCTCGTTGAAAGCTTTCCAATATGTCGAATGAAAGCCTGACCAATTCTCAATGTCTCCTAAAAAATTCATTATATGATGACCATGAAAATTTTGAGCTACTAAAATTGAAAGTAGACTACTACCGGTTATACTCATCCGCTAGAGTTTGGCACTTCACAAAACGACTATTTTTAGAATTAGCCTTCCGCCTTTAAGTCTCTCATCATCTCACCAAATCTGAAAGATAATGCAATTTCAGACATCAAATTCCAAATCTAGACCAAATTTTACCCAAAAATAGGCAGGCAAAAACCCCAAAAGGGAGAGAGAAAGAAGATTTCTAAAAATAGCCTGGACTACATTCCTATACAATCATTTGCATAAAATGTTTTAGTGGAGTGAGTCCTATATATGTAGCTAATTTTTTTTTCTTGCTTTAATTTGTTCTATAACATCTGTGGAACAACCTGACCCAAAATTATGCAAATAAACCTAAAAGTAAACCAGTGGTAGTGTTTTTACTTTTGCCCCCTCTTTCCTATAATAAGCTATATATGCACTGTATAAGCTTGTATACGTACAATTCTGAATTGGTCAGAACTTTTTTATTTATGAAGATAATTCAATTCTGTAAAAAGATTA